ATTACGCACATGTGGCCAGGCAGGTCTTAATTCGTTCGACCCCTGTGTGGGCGTCTCCACCATTTCTCAGAATTTGTGAGTCAGATCGTCANCATACAGTGGGTGATAGGTTAACGAACATAATTCACTCCAAGAATTTGTTTGTTAACCGATTATTGATTTACCATAGGTTTTAATGGAAATTTAATTAATTTGTTCTGGAGACCCCAAAAATAAAAAATATATACTTTGTTACTACGTTTATTTATATGTAATAATAAAAATCCATACATACACAGTCATGCATTTTTATTAGTCATGTTTTTTTTTTGTTCGAAAGGGTTAAAGAATCTGTCTAATGTCGATTGCTTTTCTCTCTTCTTCAGGATTTTTTGTAAGTAATTAATAGCATTGCAATTGTAGAAATCCCCAAGCCTCAACCTGGTTTGGATGCCATTCTAAGATTGTTGTTCTGACATCCTCCCACTTCTTCAGAGGATCTTTAATAACAGATATCGGCATTAATCCTGTTTTTCAGAAGAAAACATATCTCGTTGAGTTTTATTGGTGTTCTTCTGTCATTAGATCCGTTTCAGGTTCCATTATGAACTCTTCAATGTTCTTCATTTTTCAGATGTGATTTTTCTTATTTCTTTAGCTGCTTGAGTCTTCTCGATTATACAGTATTTTTTAAAATAAGATTGAACTGCGGCCTACTGTAGACCTGTTCACGCCATACTGCACACTCTCTACCTCTGCTATTATACTCTCACCTTTCGAACTGAAAAACAGACACAAACTTAACTAGTGCCTACCCGACAGTTTTACGAATACATAAAAGAATTGTTTTGTCAGAAAAATAAAAGGCTGGAAATTAGAAGGGAGAGTTTCAAAGTTTGGAGGAATACTATCTGATCGGTATATATCGGCTTGAGTGTTGATGTCGACATTTCTCATACTCGGAAAAGTTTCGAATTGTTGCCCAAAGACAAGGAAAGACCAATCGGTATTCATTATTTTACATTGCTTCTTTTTGTGTTTGTTCTGTGGGGTGTTTGTTATTTAAGTAGGTGTTTGTTGTTTGAACATAAAAATCTTTTGCAAAAGTGTTCATTAACCGATCACCCACTGTATATGAAAAATCTTTTATTAAAACTGTTCAGAAACTTTTAACAAATGATATATTATGTATTATGTATTTATATTTGAAAACAATAAGTAAATTTATAGTAAATTTTATAATATTCATTTCTAATTGTTAAAATAGTTTTATAACTACTGGAATAAATAAATTTGTTTAGTTGTTATCGATTTTAAGATTCATTTCTTGTGTTATTAATTTTTTCTTATGTTGTATTTTTAAAATAGTCCTTAGATCCTGAACAAAAAGTAGACAGTTGGAAAAGTAAAGCAAAAAAGAAGGTAAGTTTTTACAATTTAAAATTTTGACAGTGCTTAAAATATTATCATAATAGTAAAATGAAAGTAAAGAAAAATCATAAAACTTGAATAACAGATTTATTCTACTCCTGTTATTTAAATAAGTTAAAATGTTTTTGAGTGCAAGAAAGACTAAGAAAATAAAAACTGTAAAAATCATTTTAATTTCCATTTCAAAAATAAATAAAACTTTTTCTTTTTTACTAAATAACATAATTTTATCAAAAAAATATCACATGAAGATAATATCATTGTTTTGATCACTTAGAATAGACACAATTCAATATTTTAATGAAATACTGTATATTAATTCAGTTTTTATATAATGGATAGGATATATATAAATATATTAGTGTTGGTTATTTAATTTTGTTTTAAAAATTTTTTAAATATTTATTGTTTTTTTTATTTTAATGTTTTTTAATTGAGATAAAGTGAAGTGCTTAATGACTTTTCTTCATTAATTTAAATTCATTTACTTGATATAATTGTTTAAATTTTTCTTGAAATTGAAAAGCCTCTAGGTTTATCANCAAAATAGAAACTTTCCGATAACATCGGAAATGAGGTTCTAACATCATTTTAAAATATTCCATATCTAAACCAGAAAGTGTTAGCTAGAAATAGACTTATTTATAGAACAATCCCCCATTTCTCACCTCAGGAAAAGTCATAAAACAGTTGGGTGCTAATGACTTGGTGAAAGGGAAAAAGTTCTACACTTAGAAACTTCGAAAGAAGGGATTTGGCCTGTATCGTCCACGGGCCGCATAAACATTGATAGGGGGCCGTATGTGGCCCGCAAGCCGCAGGTTGTGCACCCCTGTTAATTCCATCTCCAGAATTCACAAAGAAAAAAAAATGGAATATGTCAAAAAATGTCAATAACACATACTAAAGCTTTTTGAGCATTCGAAAATTCAAACAACTGTTTAAGCATTATATCATGACAACATTTCAAGCTTTTTATTACATCAGTAGAACATACCATACATTACAGATTAGACTTATAAGCATAAAGAATCATAAAGATTTCAACTTCCAAACTTCCACAGCCTTCACAGAGGAATCGATCACCAACAGAAGCACTATACTTGTTTGGGAATTTATAGATCTACAATTTTTTCAAATTTGTACTCAACTCAGGGTGTGTTTGTAACATGTAGATCATTGTCTTGAACTATGGATTTGGATAATTAATTCTGTGAAAAATAAGAAAGATGGCTGTTGTGCTTTTCATTTTTATATTTGTTACTTTTATAATGTTTTACATTCTATTTGTATTTTGTAGTTTATTTTTACTTCAATTTGTGTAGTAACTACAACCTTTTTGTTTTGAGATGCGATACTACTTTAGTCCATCTTACCAGTTTAATTTTTGAAGTGTTTTATCACATAATATAATGCTTAAATGTATGCTTAAACTTTCAAATGTTCAAAAAGCTGTACGAAGCTTCATCAATGCTAAATCTTATCATCAGAAATCCCAAACGAAAAGTATTATGTTCTGAAAAAATTTAAATCTGAATAAGAAAGTGGATTCCTTAGCTGTTCTAGTGTAAAGTTTTCTTTTAAACTAATGATCATCATGGATTAATGATAATTTGATAAGAAGAATTATCTTAAATAAATACACTGATGACTTGATATAATGTGATCCTTGGAGACCAAAAAATTTTATTATAAAAATTATAGTGACAAAAAATTTTTTGGACTCCAAAGCCACTTTATGTAGTCAAATTGTTTGGATAGGGCAGAAAGATATATGGACAACTTATGTCATATATACACTGCTGATCAGTTTACTGATTACTCAACTCAGGGTGTATTTGTTAATAGTGGTTGCTCCACACCTTCACCCTGCTGCTGTTTGAAGGCATTTGGGAATGATGTTGAAAGAAAGAAAAAGATGGCAGCATGTATACTTACAGATGATATTGTGATAGAAGAATCTATAATTTTAATATGGGTTTTTAGAGACAAAACTTAAAAGAAGGGTCTTAATTGTAAAATTTAGCCATCAAATGAATTGTCTTGCTAACAGATCATTCAAAATAGCCATGGAAAAATTAGAATGCATGTTACCGTTTGAAAATAATTTGAGATGACATTTATATCACTGTGTGTACTAACAGGCACTTTGACAACTTCTAAATTTTCATTCATAAAACCACATAATGGACACTGAAACAAAACTGTCTGAGCCATGGAAATTGCAACATTGCTTTCCACCTTAAACTACTATTTTTCTGTCAGATGGTGCACACTGGCGAGAATACAGGAATGTGTTTTACAGGAATTTTTAAATGGTTCCACCTACACAGACTAATGTGGAAGAATAAAAGAACGCACCCATACACCTTCTACCATTTATTTTGTTCTCTTTCCATATCAAGGCATTCAAGTGTTAAGCTGGATGTCTTGATGTGGTCATCAATTTCATGACCAAACCACAGTGATATATACAAAGTTTAGACATGGGCAACAAAATATTGCAAATTGAGTTAATTGATTTTGAACTGTGTTGTTAATTTAATTCAGTAGCATACAATGAGATGAAATGAATGCAACAAAATATGAGGAGGCTGGGAAATTTGTGTTTAAGGACTGTCAATGTTGTATGCAGGTGCATGTTGTATTGAGCCATCAATATATGTATGCTGAAAACAAATTTATGTATATGTTTAATTTATTACTATAGAAATTAATTTTTTAAAATTTTCTATATTTTTTAGGTATGGTTTAATAATACCAAACAAAGTAAAAAGAACTATAGAGAAATCATCAGTATTTGATAATAGTGATGAAGAGGTAAGTTTATTTAATATCTTAAAATTAATTTTTAACAAATTTGAAATAATGTTTATAAATTTTGTTTGAATTTTCTCATTTTTTTCACTTATTTGCTTATTTTTACGTAACTCAACATCTTGTCTGGTACCTGTTACTGGTGCATTCTGTGAATAATAAACAATATTTTTATAAGAAACTCAGCATCACCTTAACACTGGGAGAAATCAACACTAAATACAGAACCTGTTTGGTGAAAAACATTTCTTGACAAACGTTTTCAAATTTTCTAAGATAGTTCTTCCTCAGGCAAAAAATCCAATGGAATGCTTCAGAAAAAATAATAAAAAGATAGAATTGTGGAGATTTAAAACAAAACCGAATGCTCGCATAACGAAACTCGTTGAGATGGGCATGCGCTCTTGTGCATAGATGGAGATATTTAAAGGTTATTGTTTATAAGGGCCTGCCATGATACAGAAAGACTTAATATGGTTGATACAGGTTTTCACATGGTTAGCCTTGTAGATAGCTACGGCTTCTAGCCATTTTAGATGTTCTAGGTGGGGTGCAGCGACAATGACGTCGGACTTGTTGAATCTTACCTCAATGTCGAGATCAGATGCATAGGTATAANGGACTTTCTGAAAGTCAATATGTATAGAGAGATTTGATCACTTATTTAATTTGCAAATTTTTTTACCTTTTTTTGTCTATTTATATTGTATTTATTTTTTGTTGTTTATATATTTATTCAATATTGTGATATATTTCTTATGTCATTAATAGGTATTAAGAGATTTGTTTGTATTTTATTATATGTATTTATTATACAGTTTTAATTAAAGTATTTTATATATTTTTTGTTATTTATTTATTTATTTACTTGTTTATTTAATTTTGTTAATATGAAAATTTTTCACCATTTGCTTTGGCTTAGCTTAGCCTATATGGCTTTTGTGCCAAAAAACCAATACAAAACAAACAAACATATTTGCAGTTTGGATAAGTAGTGTCTTCACATATGACATATGAATGGAGAATGTAAACAGTATGATTGACCTGGACACAAGCAACATCTCACATGTTGGGGTTAATTGTATTTCACTTTGGTCAACCTCAAATAAATGTTGACTAATGAATTTTCACTCTTTCACTTGTTATTAAAACGTGTAAAACTTAATAGTATACATGATCAATATGAAATTGTTCATATATGCAATAGCAACTCGCAACTTGATCTTTCAACAAATTTAAACAATATTAAGAAAAAGGATGTATATAAGTTTATAATTATTTTGTTAACCTTCTATAACTCAAAAACATATATATTAATTATTGTTACAGATTTAGGCAGGGTTTAAGAAAATAGTAAACACGTATTAAAAAATTTTTTTGTTTTTATTTCAAAGCAAAAAATACAAAATTGGGAGTGAAGCTTACAGGCAACACTAAGCAATAATTTTAAAGAAATTCTAATTATGCATGATGGTTTATGAAAGGTGGAAATTCCTGAAGCAGTTTTTATTTTCTGTGTAGCATAGAGCCACGCCACACTTCTCACATACAGTGTGAGTAAATCTCAAGCATTTTGGAAATTTGCAATGGATTTTTTATCAGTACATTGAGGCCAGTGTCCAATCTGGTCTTGATGAACAGCCTGTGGAGTAACATGCTGAGCATGTTTTCTGTTTCTTTGCTAAGATCTCACATTGTAGAGATTGCAGTGTCGAAAAACTAGATTCATTCCACATTTTGCATAGTGTCTCTGCAGCTTGCAGACGGAAATTTGCTGAAGCCATGATGGTCTTTTGAGAAATATTTTTGTATTTGTACACTTTTTTATAAAGCAGCCATGTGTTGGCCATTGTGAGGTCCAAGTAATGATAGAACATGTGCATGTGCCAATATTTGCTTTGTATTGGAATCTGATATATGCCCATAATGCTGTCGATAAGGTCTACGCCTTCCATAAAACGATTATACTTGCCAACTACATTAGGCTGTTTGATGTTTACATATCTTGAGATTTTTTTGTCGTATCTGGAGTTCAGTTTCAGGTTTTTGGCCAGCAAATGTGAAAGCCAAGGTGACAATTTTATTGTCCTTTCATGTGAGTGTTGACACATCGATGCCATTGACACTGGCTACGTATTCTTCTGAATATCCTCATTCTTTCTTCATGATCAACTTCTCCGATGACAGTTTCCAATTGGGAATCTTATTCCTTTTAATAGTACCAAGACTGAGGATTTCTTCTTTGGCTAAATATTCTAGAAGACAGAGAAGTAAAAAAGTTGTCAAAGTACAGCCTAAAATTTTAGTGCCTAGGGATCATGTGTGACAATCTCATTACAACATTGGATGAGGCTCCCAAATCTGGTTCTCCTTGAATAACAATATTCTCTTTGCCTGTTTCAACCTCTGTCTTATAGGCGAACCCAGAAATGCCACTCAAGACATAGATTTTGTACCCCCATTTGTGCAGTTTCATGGAGTTGTATTTTTTCAGCAAATTTCGGGCTTTGGTGGAGCACATTGCTCATCCACAGAAAGGTTCTTTCTTAGTGAAACTTTGCTGAATGTTGCGTTCAAGGCATCAATAACTGGTTGACAGCAACTTTCCTACATCATAAGACAAAGATGGCGGCGAAGAAACAGTATGGTTTAATAATACCAAACAAAGTAAAGAAAACTATAGAGAAATCATCAGTATTTGATAATAGTGATGAAGAGTCTTTATATCCTGAACAAAAAGTAGACAGTTGGAAAAGTAAAGTAAAAAAGAAGGTAAGTTTTTACAATTTAAAATTTTGACAGTGCTTAAAATATTATCATAATAGTAAAATGAAAGTAAAGAAAAATCATAAAACTTGAATAACAGATTTATTCTACTCCTGTTATTTAAATAAGTTAAAATGTTTGAGTGCAAGGAAGACTAAGAAAATAAAAACTGTAAAAATCATTTTAATTTCCATTTCAAAAATAAATAAAACTTTTTCTTTTTTACTAAATAACATAATTTTATCAAAAAAATATCACATGAAGATAATATCATTGTTTTGATCACTTAGAATAGACACAATTCAATATTTTAATGAAATACTGTATATTAATTCAGTTTTTATATAATGGATAGGATATATATAAATATATTAGTGTTGGTTATTTAATTTTGTTTTAAAAATTTTTTAAATATTTATTGTTTTTTTTATTTTAATGTTTTTTAATTGAGATAAAGTGAAGTGCTTAATGACTTTTCTTCATTAATTTAAATTCATTTACTTGATATAATTGTTTAAATTTTTCTTGAAATTGAAAAGCCTCTAGGTTTATCAGAGATTATTTAGTAGATTATTCATTATTGATTTGTCAAGAGACATTTTGTTTTTACAAAAATATGAATATAAGAATTACATTTTTCAAAATAAATTGTAAAAAATGTATTTTATAATTCTTTTACTACTTTATAACTGTTTCAATTACTTTGTTTTGCTAAATTTGAAAATATCACATTTTGCTCTGATTGAAAATATATGATTGTTCTTTACTGGCTTCATTCAATAAGAAAAAACTGCTTGATTTAGATTAAAAATGTTTCATACCAAACAATTTTGGTAATCTCAGCTTATATAGAATGTTTAAAAAATTAAAATTTTTAATTTTAAAAAATAATTTTTAATAACTTTATTAATAAACATTTTATATAATTTAATTTACAAAATGAATATTTATCTTTCTACATTATTTATATTAATTTTTATACATAGTAGTGGAAAAGATCATGTTTGTTCTAATAAAAATAAAAATTTTCCATTTCAATATTATTATTTATAGAACCAATTACATTGAACATTCTTAAAATTGGAGGAACTGTTATAGTAAAAATTTAAGAACGGTTGCATCATTATCTACGTTGGACTCTGTATATTAATAGGTCTCATTATACAGAGGCAAACATAGACAATGATATAATAAAGAATTTAATAAGGCCATAGAGGCAAAAGAATTAATTCTTAAACCTGTTCATCGGACCCTACTAATGTTCAATTGTAGAAGCAAGTTTTTCTTGGACTAATGTTAATATTATATTAATGATAATGTGCTAAATCTTGTCTATTAATGAACATGAATGTTAAAGAGATTGTCTTTTTTTCTGAATGTGTTATTGTATAGATCACAATATATTGTAGATTAATTAATGGTTTTATATTTTAAATTGATATATTATAGTAGTGTTCATTAATTACTGATGATTTAAAACTTTGTATGTCAGTAATTTAAAGTTGTTTTGATTCATGAAATTTATTTATTAGCACTAAAGAAATCTGGCAGTCTAAATTCTATTTTGTATAGTAATTTTGCATGTGATGATAATAATTATTGTTTTGATTTTATGATATGCTTGTTATTGTAATTAGTTTATCTTAACCCAATAATTTTATTTTATGTAACTGAAATTTAACAGAATTATGTAAAATTACTGTACTTAAGTGCATTATGTATATTTTAGGTTTATAATCTAATCTAATAATGTTATAGTTGAATACTATTTTATAAAATGCAAAGTTTAGATTAAGATGTTTTTATGTAAAATAAAATTTAATTATTTAAACTATATAATAAAATAAGTTAATAATTATACTAATGTAATCATTGTATTTTTGCAGACACGTATGGAGATACAGAAAGTATTAAAAGAAGATCCTACTGTTTATGAATATGATAGTATTTATGATGATATGAAAAGGCAAGAAGCAGAAAAAAAAGAAATCATCATTAAGGATAGAAAAGTAATTTTGTTTTTCTAATTATAAAATAATTAAGTAATTTTTAATCTATGAAAGGTGTCCAGAAAATAAATAATTTTTGGTTATAAAAATGGAAATGAAAACAGTAATGATAAGAAAAAAGTTTTAGTAAGTAATCAATATAAGACCAGTTATTTTTCTAAATAGTCACCATTATGTAGAAAAATAACTAGTCTTGTACTGATTACTTATGTGTGCTGTGACAAGTGCTTAAATTATAATTTAAGCATTTGTGATAGCATGACACTAGTTTTTGGATTCCTTCATCATAGACTTTCAGTGCTACTTCTTTCAGCCAGTTAGCCATTAAATGCATAAGATTGCAGATATACAACAAATAGTTTAAGTTGCTAAAATGTTCCAAAGTACAGCATTGTAGATAGGCAACATTTCAGAGATTTCATTATTGTCAGTTTTGTGTGCTAGGAGGCACTTAATTACAGAATATTCTCGTTCATCCTGTTGAAAATTGGGTTTGTAGAAATGTTGATTATTGCCTCATTTTGTTTTGAAGTTCAATTAGTTTATATGAAGTTTTGATGAAAACCAAAATTATTTTCATAATCAGAAAGGTCAGTTTTGTAATGGTTTTATATAGTTTATATAAAAAACAAAATGATTGAGTTGATTTTTCATTTTTTGCAGTATTACAACATTGTGCATATCTAGTAGTTCTTAGCTTTAAAAAATTGAACAATTTGTCCTAGTATAACTTTTCTGTTAGGAGGATACATATACTAATTAATAAACTTAGTTACCATCTTTTAAAGTAGATTAATTATATTATATTACTATTTTAATGTAGCACTTTAAAATGTTTAGTAGATATTTCTAAGAATAGCTTATTTTTCATATGGTGCATACAAAGATATATTATTTTTATGTAAATTGCAGATTACCATGTATATTAATGCAAAATTTGAATTTTTTTAGATTCTTTTTTAAGGTTGAATTTATGGGGTCGACTATACTACTTTTGGTTGGCTGAAATTAAAACTAGAATCCAAAGTACTGAATCAGTTGTAGAAGTCCAACTGATGTCTATATGAATAAAAACAAAAACAAAATGAATTACAGTAATATTACTGATTTGGCATTTCTATAGAAAACAGGCTCCCTAAGTTGGGGTCTGTTTTCTATAGGAACACAAAATTTTAAAATTTGTATTCACATAAAAATAAAATAATCAAGACATTTCTTTAGAAGTAGAGATGTAGAAATTCATTTTTTAATAACACAAGGTATTCTTCCAGCTAGGAAGCAATGTAGTAATTTATCATGCCAATGGGATCAAAGTATGACTTTAAAAGTGATTTAAATTCTAATCAACTTATATATTTTAGATTTGATAGTAAAAGTTGCAGAAAAAAAGCAGTCCATCTTCTGTAACAGTTCTATTAAAAATATGAAACTGGAATTATAGAAATTTTTACATTTAATTTTCATATTTGTTTTCAATGAAAAAAAATGTTGGCAAATAAATGTTGACCTGTTTGCAAAATACTAGGGTCAACTTTTACACAAGGACAGTTAAAAATTCCAGATTTTTTGGCCAAAAATAAGAGGGTCGACTTTTACATGGGATCAACTATTAGTTGGGTATATACATAATTTAATTTACAAAATGAATATTTATCTTTCTACATTATTTATATTAATTTTTATACATAGTAGTGGAAAAGATCATGTTTGTTCTAATAAAAATAAAAATTTTCCATTTCAATATTATTATTTATAGAACCAATTACATTGAACATTCTTAAAATTGGAGGAACTGTTATAGTAAAAATTTAAGAACGGTTGCATCATTATCTACGTTGGACTCTGTATATTAATAGGTCTCATTATACAGAGGCAAACATAGACAATGATATAATAAAGAATTTAATAAGGCCATAGAGGCAAAAGAATTAATTCTTAAACCTGTTCATCGGACCCTACTAATGTTCAATTGTAGAAGCAAGTTTTTCTTGGACTAATGTTAATATTATATTAATGATAATGTGCTAAATCTTGTCTATTAATGAACATGAATGTTAAAGAGATTGTCTTTTTTTCTGAATGTGTTATTGTATAGATCACAATATATTGTAGATTAATTAATGGTTTTATATTTTAAATTGATATATTATAGTAGTGTTCATTAATTACTGATNTTTTCTATATTTTTTAGGTATGGTTTAATAATACCAAACAAAGTAAAAAGAACTATAGAGAAATCATCAGTATTTGATAATAGTGATGAAGAGGTAAGTTTATTTAATATCTTAAAATTAATTTTTAACAAATTTGAAATAATGTTTATAAATTTTGTTTGAATTTTCTCATTTTTTTCACTTATTTGCTTATTTTTACGTAACTCAACATCTTGTCTGGTACCTGTTACTGGTGCATTCTGTGAATAATAAACAATATTTTTATAAGAAACTCAGCATCACCTTAACACTGGGAGAAATCAACACTAAATACAGAACCTGTTTGGTGAAAAACATTTCTTGACAAACGTTTTCAAATTTTCTAAGATAGTTCTTCCTCAGGCAAAAAATCCAATGGAATGCTTCAGAAAAAATAATAAAAAGATAGAATTGTGGAGATTTAAAACAAAACCGAATGCTCGCATAACGAAACTCGTTGAGATGGGCATGCGCTCTTGTGCATAGATGGAGATATTTAAAGGTTATTGTTTATAAGGGCCTGCCATGATACAGAAAGACTTAATATGGTTGATACAGGTTTTCACATGGTTAGCCTTGTAGATAGCTACGGCTTCTAGCCATTTTAGATGTTCTAGGTGGGGTGCAGCGACGATGACGTCGGACTTGTTGAATCTTACCTCAATGTCGAGATCAGATGCATAGGTGGCCAAGTGTGTTAAAAATCTGTATAAAATTAAAAAGAAGTATCAGTTATCTCTTTTATTAACCTCAACACTGAATGATGATTGCTTCAAAACAATTTTTATTTAATTATTTTCTTGTTTAAGACCTGTTAATTAACATCACTTTTTGTTCACTGATACATTCTTGTTCTTAGGTTAGGTTTAGAACAGGAGTCACCAAACTACAGCCTGCAAGGTCAGTTCATTTGGCCTGTTGCTGACTGTGCCTCAAACAAGTTAAAATATAATTATTTATACAGAAATATCATAGGTTGTAGATAAACTTACTATGTAAAAAAATTAAAATAAGTGTAAGTAAAAGCACCAAAATTGGTCCAATCTGACTTTTGCATCTGACAGTAATATAAATTTTAGCTAAATAAGTGAAATAAAAAATTTGGCAACATTTTATGACTGGATATTAGAGCACTTTCTGCTTAAGTACCTGCAATGAAGTTTTTAAGGGCTTCTGCAATGATTATGTTTGTGTACTGGTAAATAAATATGCTGATTGTCTTTATTTATTGTGTATTATTGTGCTATACTGAACAAAATGGTTATATGGCCCGCACTCGTCATTCTCTCAGTTATCTGGCTTGCTGTGAAAAAAGTTTGGTGATCCTTGTTTAGAACATCTACAGAAAAAAAGCCATGCTTCTTTTGCAATCAATATTATCTCAATACCAACCTAAGAGAACATGTTGGCATTGAGGATTTTGAAGAATTACACATCATTTTAATAATAAATGTCATTTTAAGTATGAACGTAATTTACTGAGAACTTGTAATGATATTAAAATAACAAGTAAGAAAATCAACACCTTACATAATTTTTCCAGTGCAAAGAGTTTGTGTAACAAACATTTTTGGTTTATTTTATAAACCTGCTTTCAATTTTATAAATTTCTTTCCTGTTTGGGAATTTTGAATTGTATAATTTCAAATCTGAAGCAGGTTTGTAAAATAAACCAAAAACATTTGTTATACAAACTTTTCTATGCTGGAAAATTATTTAAGGTTTTGATTTTTTCACTAGTTATCCATTCCAATTGTAATTTTGAACTTTATAAAATAACATTATAGTAACATTATTTAATAAGTTTGAATGTAAAATTCAGTCATTTGGAATTTTGCATGGCCTGTAGTTTGGGAGTTTTTTTTAACTCTCTATTAAGAAGGTTTTTTTTCCATGCCCATTATGGATTTGACTAGGCACACAATGAGGTCTCTGGGTGATGAGAAATGAGACCCAATATATCTGAGACAGATAGTCCATGAAAAAGTGTTGGAGTTACTTGAAAAATTTAATTAAATTGTAAAATGTTTTCCACTTGAATTATATTTGAAAATTGGCATTTTTTAAGCCATTTGTTTACTTATTGAGATATTGTCCAGTAGATACATTGTGAACTCTACAGATGTTATAAAAGAATTTCTTGTTTTGTTGTGTTTATATAATTAATTTGTATAAGGAAATGTTACATTTGTTAACAATTTTCAGAACCAGAAAACAAGTGAAGAAATTAACCTGGAATAGAACATTTCAATTTAACTTAGATTGCAAAAAATATTTTAGTTATAATAACAAAATACAATAAAATAACAATTTATTTATAAAATATGAAATTACAGTGACTGACTGACTGAATTATCTTGTTATAAGGAAAATACTCAAGATTTCCAAACTCATTTTTTCTTCTATATCTGTTTTTTCTGATTACTAGGAATTTTACTTAAAATGACTGTAAAACTGGCAATGGATATTCATAAATATTACAGGATTTGTAAGACTTGAATATAATTTCAATAGTTATTTCTGAGAATTTTAAGAGAATACAAAAAAGAAGTAGAAAAGAAATAGGACAACTTGAGATTTTAGTTGTAGTGTTTCAATTTAAGTTAATTATGAATGATGTCACATTTAAGTATTTAACATTTATATTAGTATTTTAAAAGAAATTTAATCACTTTTAAGTTATGAATGAATAAGTGATTTTTTAAAATTTATGATCCATCTTCAAGTCATTTAATATTTAAATAATTTGGCAATACATCATCAAATTCAATTGTAATAAATATAGAAATTAATTATATATAAGATATCATTCCTGTAAAATTAGTATAATTAATTAACAATAAAAATTTTTTTATCTATAATTTTGTAATCGCTGTAGAATACATTACATATAATACATTACTTTGTTAAATAAAATACACACAACACACATATGAAAAAATCTTTTATTAAAACTGTTCAGAAACTTTTAACTAATAATATATTATGTATTATCTATTTATGTTTGAGAATAATAAGTAAATTTATATTAAATTTTATAATATTTATTTTCAATTGTTAAATCACTTTTATAAGTATTGGAATAAATAAATTTGTTTAGTTGTTATCAATTTTAAGATTCATTTCTTGTGTTTTTAATTTTTTTCTTATGTTGTGTTTTAAAATAGTCTTTAGATCCTGAACAAAAAGTAGACAGTTGGAAAAGTAAAGTAAAAAAGAAGGTAAGTTTTTACAATTTAAAAATTTGACAGTGCTTAAAATATTATCATAATAGTAAAATGAAAGTAAAGAAAAATTATAAAACTTGAATAACAGATTTATTCTACTGCTGTTATTTAAATAAGTTAAAATGTTTTTGAGTGCAAGAAAGACTAAGAAAATAAAAACTGTAAAAATCTGGCTTTTCAAGGTACAAGCAACAAGTTGTTTGAGTATAAAAATGGTAATTTCTTTAAAATAGTTGTGTTGCCTATCTGAATTTGATCCCATTATGAAAGAGCACGTTTGTAGAGTGCTTAAAAAAGAAGAGACTAAAGCTCACTATCTCGGAAAAAATATATAAAACGAGATAATAGATCTGCTGCATCAAAATGTAAAATCTCATATTATTGATGAAATAAAAAACTCAAAATATTTTTCCATAATTTTAGACTTTACTCCTGACATTAGTAAGGTAGAGCAAATGACTCTTGTAATCAGATATGTTTCAATCAATAACTTTGGCACTGATTTTGAAATTAAAATTAATGAAAGCTTTTTAGGCTTCTTACCAGTTGAAAGATCCACAGGAAAACAAATGTCTGATATTATAATTGGAGAACTTAATGACTCGGGTTTAAATTTGCAGGATATCAGAGAGCAGGGATACGACAATGGGTCCAATATGAGGGGCGATAAAGCAGGAGTGCAATCTAGAATTAAACAATATAATTTGCGAGCATTCTGTGTACCGAATTAGTAGCCACTCTCTCAATCATGTTGTTAATGATGTGGTAAAAGCATCCTTGGAAGCCGCTAATTTCTTTAACGTGGTTCAAAAAATATATTTATTTTTTTTGGCATCTGCTTTTCGATGGGCAATACTTTTAAAACATGTTCAACGTTTAACTTTGAAATTATTGAGTGACACTAGATGGGAGAGTAGGATAGAGATCTTAAAGCCTTTGAGATTTTATTTGGGAGATGTATACGACGCCTCACTAAGCATTTACAAAAACCAAGAAATTAATAATTTGCACTTGATCTTTTACAAAACTGCAAAATATTTTTTAAGAATCTTCGATCAGATTCGTTCTTCGATGAAACTATTTTTGATGCAAAAGAACTTGCTACTGAAATTGATGTGGAGCCTAATTTTGGATCAACAATAACACGACACCACATTAGAAGAAAAAGGAACTTCTTATACGAAGCACGAGATGAACCCATCAAAGATCCAAAACAAAAATATAAAATAGATTTTTTTATTTTACAATCGATTAAGCACTAAATTCACTAGATGCTAGATTTGAACAACTTAGTAATTATAGCAACTATTTTCAATTATTATATAAAATATACGATTTAAATATCATGTCCAAAGAAATGCTACTAAAACACTGTAAGAATTTAGAACACATTTTAACTGTTGGTGATTTTGTTGACATAAATGGGATAGAATTAGCAGAGGAAATTTCAGCAGTATCTGTGCTTTTGGGCAAAAAAGAAAGCCTAAACAATATACTGAGCTTAATTACAAAGTTAAATTTTTCCCCAAATCTTACTATTGCTTTAAGAATATTGCTAAGGATACCAATAACTGTAGCAAGTGGCGAAAGGAGTTTCTCTAAGTTAAAATTAATTAAGAACTTTTTACATTCTGCTACTACACAAAATCGTCTTAATGGTTTGGCCATGTTGGCAATTGAGCATGAAATTGCTGATCAAGAAATTTAAAAGATGCAATAAAAAAGTTTGCAGAACTGAAAGTAAGAAAAAAGTTTTTAATGATTTAGCGGAGTTATGTTACCTTGTTTTATTTTCAAAATAATGGCATTTTGATTGTTTGTGCAATAATACATTTGTAATAGCATTTAAAGATGCATGTAAAAAATTATATGGTTAAGAGTTTGTGGCTAGGTACAGATATTTCTTAATTCATTTCTACTGTTTTGTACTGCTTGATTATCAATGTTATGTTATATGTTTTTTTCTAAATACAGTAAAACCTGTTTATGGCGACCATCCACGGTTCTTTCAAAAAGTGGTCTTTTAGGCAGGTGGTCGTCCAATACAGGTGGTGCTGTAATAGCGTATTTCCGTACGTATTTTGCGCACTTTTTAACCATTTCTACTAAGCAAAACTCGAGGCAAGCAAAAATAAGCGAATTTTTCAACGATAGAGATATATTGGTATTGTATTTTATTCTTATCTGATTTAATACCAATATTTTAAAGATTAATACAATAGTCTCGTTTTCTAGATTATAATGCTCACTCTCTTTTTTCTGACTTAATTAATTCAACTCGGTTGTTTTCGCTTGCTCCTCTGTAGCGTGTATTACGTCATCGATATACAAGATCGTCGTATCCCTACATCACTTTGGTTTTGGTATTCGTTAGTTTAATCTTATTTTAATTTTAAAAATACTGTATTTTTTTAATATTTTCGTAAGGACAATAAGAAAAATTATTAATTAATAATAAAACGATTTTATTATTTTTTCTCATTATACGATTTCATTACATTCCGCGATTGTTATTGCAGAATCAAAAAAGGAAGGTTGCATGGAAAACTGATTTTTGCATTAATGCGTTTATTGTTTTTTGAATATTTTGCGTGCGAAAATTACTTGGATATTATTTTTCTTAAAATATCGTGGAATTAGGTAGGTTGATAAAGAAACTATTTATCGTACATGTACTGTATAGGAGCTTCAAAATAAATAAATAAATAAGTAAATAAAAATAAATTTTATCAAACGATGAGATCAGCCGATTAATTGTATCCTGTACAATATTTTATACCCTCAAGTAGAGTACTGTAGGTCCACGGTAAAATCAATTTCCTTTTCCCACAGTTAAACTTCGCCGCTAATTGCTGTTGTGATAACTTTAACACGATCTTCTAACGACAGCACTTTGCATTTCTTTCGTTTTTCGACAATTTCAAACAAACTGAAATGAATTTCCTTTGTTGCTAGACTAATTCATTAACACCTGCACCTAATTTCAAGGGTGGGAGAAGTGCCCGAAGTGGGTTCGAACGAGAGTTTAGACTAATTCTTTATATTAGGAGGGTGAAAACGTTGTTGAACAATAGTTTAGACCAGATATATTTGCAGATGGTCGCCTAAGCAGTTTTCACTGTATATGCTTTTATTAAAATTTAAATAAAATGATTTCAGTTACCGCTACATTGGGCCCTGGACCGACGTACACGTTTTCGCGTTTAAAACTTCGGCCTCAACCTCGCTATTAGAACTCGATTTTGTAGTTTAGTTTTCATTAAATTTAATTGCAAAAAAATACGTTCAACTGCTGCATTTGAATGAGGAAGCAATAAAAACATGTATTTACTGCCAAAGTAAAAAATACAGAAATATAGAATAAAAATGAATGTTTTGAAAGGAAAGGTATTAGGATTTCATGAATGGTACTAGGAAAATGGTGTTGGGTGTCTTGGTACTGGGACAAGTAAAAAGGTATTAGATTAGTACAAAAGTACTAGGTAAAACAACACCTGGTACAAAAGTAGCTAACTGCTTGAGCACTTGGCTACTTTTGGGCTACTTTTTAAAAATTATTTGGCTACATGGGCAAAAACATCTGGCAACGCTGATATGAACAAAGGGGAGAAGACGAATAGAATAGAATAGAACGTTTCTACATTGTAAGACAAAGATGGAGGCAAAGAAGCGGTAAGTTTAATATCTTAATTCACTTAGCTAAGTTTAAAAAATCACTTTTTTAATAAAGATTTATGCGTCTTATACGAAATCAGTTATCTTTATACTTCAGTACGTGACAGTGAGCATTAAGCAGAATATTAATAATCAAATAAACTGGTTTTCATAGTATCAATCATCTCGGTTATTGTTATGTCGGTGTCAAAATGGCGGCGCTTCGGTTAGGTTCGTTTTGTTTCCGTTAGATTAACTGCATTTTTATAGACGTTTTTTTTTATTTTGTTGAAGAACTACTGTTAATCAATAAGTAGTGACTAGGGTTTCTTTTTTCGGGATTTCGTTTTCCCGGGATTCTCGCCGTTTATTTCCTACGAGAAAAATCCGGATAATCTCGCATTTCAATAATAATTTACCATGTCAGGTTTTCTTACTTTTATTTATTATACGAAAAGTTGCATCTTGCAGACTTACCTAAGAGAGAAATTTTGAGGTTTTTTGCTGCTTATTATTACCTATGTTTTACATGTCTCTACTTGTTAGTTCATGTAATATCTATGTATTGTGTTTGCGCATCATTGAACAGCAGAGACTTGCTGAAAGTAAATATCACTCATCGCACTTTAGTTTATTTTTTATTTCATCTTTAGAAATAAAATAGTAAAATAGAAAAGGAGCAAGAAAATACAATTTCCTTTTTAGATTTAGAAGTGCATAGATCTCCGGATCTAACTTTTGCGGTGCACCACAAAAACAACAGAGGGCCAGATATTATCCCTGTAACTGCTTTCCAACCCCCAAGCTTCGTTAACTCCGCTATTACTTCGCTTATTCAGAGAGCGCTCCTCATTCCATCCTCCCAGACATTAATTGATGAAGAATTACAAACTATCAAAAGAGCAATGCACAATGCCGGATATTCTAACTCCAAATATCGATATCTCTACAACCGGGTCATAAACAAATTATTTCCAAAATCTTTCCTCTGCAACAAAGAAAGCCTAAAGATAATAAACCCTC